TCTCGAGAGAACTGGTACCAGAACCCAGGATGTGTGGAGGCAAGTCCGACTATATCCAGTCGGAACTTCTCTGCCTCGCACACCAGCTCGGGCTCCTTCGCTGCAAGAGAGGTAACTTTCCACGTCCCTAGAGCTAGCTTCTGTCATCGAGGATCACCCGCCAAGGTCCACGCCTTTGGCCGCCGCCCAGCTCAGTTTGCACCCGACCCATTGGCCCCTCCTACAGGTGGTGAGCCCATGGGAAGGAGTACCACATTGCCTCTTCCGGGTCAGCCCGGGCCCCATGGGTGGAGGCCCGGCCACCAGGCCATCGTCAGCCCCATCTCCAGGCCTGGCTCCAGAGAGGGACCCCAGTCACCCGTGAAACCAAGGTCCATATATTTGACTCACCATAAGGGGTCTTTTGAGCCATGCTTAGTCTGGTCCCTCACCACAGTTCAATAGATTAAATTTGCCACTCAATGTATGTGAGGCTTTTTAAAGCTCTTTGGATAGGCACCATATGATGTCGACACACTGATATATAATTGCCCTCCATATAACATTTTGATCAACTTGGATTTTTCATATGGTGGACTATGACATATCTTTCTTTTTCTTTGGGGGGGGGGCGGGTGGACTGGCGCACTGATGAAATTTACTGAGATCCTAAAATAGTAATGATGAACTGTACTTTAGCGATGACGGAAACACAGTTAAAATAACAATGATGGACTAACGCTTACAATTTGATTTTACTTGAAACAATGATAAGGAACAGGTGACCTGACCGCAATTTATGTGTGTGTATATATACTCATCCTGGCTGCTCAGGAGCAGGCCCTCAGCACCAGAGCCATAGAGGCCCAGATTTACCATACCAGACAAGACCCAAGGTGTAGGTTGTGCAAAGAGGCACCTGATACGATCCAACACATAACTGCTGGGTGTAAGATGCTGGCAGGGAAAGCTTACATGGAACGCCATAACCAGGTGGCTGGCATAGTCGACCGAAACGAAGTATGGACTCGAAACTCCAAGGTCAAAATGGGAAAGACTTCCAAAGGTAGTGGAAAGTGACCGAGCGAAGATCCTGTGGGACTTCCAGATACAGACTGACAAGATGGTAATGGCGAACCAACCAGATATCGTTATCATAGATAAAGGGCAGAGGAAAGCCATTGTAGTGGATGTAGCGGTCCCAAGTGATGGAAACATCAGAAAGAAGGAACACGAGAAACTCGAGAAATACCAAGGGCTCAGAGAGGAGCTGGAGAGAGCCTGGAAGGTAAAGGTGACAGTCATGCCTGTGGTGGTCGGAGCACTTGGGGCAGTGACCCCCAAACTAGATGAGTGGTTGCAACAGATCCCAGGAACAACATCGGACATCTCAGTCCAGAAATGTGCAGTGCTGGGAACAGCAAGGATACTGCGCAGAACCCGCAAGCTTCCTGGCCTCTGGTAGAGGACCCGAGATGAATGGGGGAGGGACACCACCCGAGGGGGTAGACGAGGATTTTTTTTTTTTTTAAATTTACAAAAAAAAAAAAAAAATCCTATATATCGCAATATCATTATCGGCCCCGGTATCGATATCGCGATATC